ATCGAGAGTTACGTATCAGTCTCTTAACTGTAGAACTAGAATGACAGAGGCCAGGGTTACCATTCTGAACTTGGATTTCACAACTGCCTTGTTGAGGTCCCTGAGATCTAAGATGGGACGGACCCTGTCCTTGGGTTTCAGGACAATGGAATATCGGGAGTAAAACCCCTTGTCCTCCAGATGTAAAGGGACCCTATCCACAGCTCCCTTTTGGAGGAGCACCAATACCTCCTGGCGGAGCGTGCCTTCCTGAGAAGTGTCCCTGAAAAAGGAAGGGGTGGGCGGTTTGGAAGGGGGTGAACCCAGAAAAGGGATGGCATAGCCACTCCTGACTATCCTTAGGACCCAGGCGTCGGTTGTGATTTCTGCCCAGGCCTGAGCAAACCGGGATAACCTGGCCCTAAACTGGGGGCCAGGGTGGGAGGCTGGTGCGCGACTCTCTAGCAGCCCGTTAAAATTGATGCTTTTGCTGCTGGGAGGGACCTTGACCAACCCCACGGAGGTTGTCCCCTCTTGGGCGACATCGACAACCCCTTGTGGATGAAGGGACCGCAGCCGCCCCTGCATCCCTACTGGGAGCACGAATAAGGCATCTCCAGTATTCCCCACGGGGGACCTGGGACTGCAGTCTCCCCTGCTGTCTGTAGGGCAGCTGATGACACTGAGGAGCCGGCGTGTGGATCCCCAAGGACCGAAGGGTAGACCTCGTGTCCTTAAGTGTATGGAGCCTGGAGTCCGTGTGCTCCGAAAAAAGGCTTTCCTGTCAAACGGCAGGTCTTGGATCGTAGTTTGGACGTCCGGAGATATTCCAGACACCTGCAGCCAGGTACCACAGCGCATAACCACACCTGACGCCATGGTGCGGGCTGCAGAGTCGACAGCGTCCAGGGAAACCTGGAGGGCCGTGCGGACGATGGTTTTGCCCTCAGAGGTCATGGCCGCAGACTCCTGATGGGCCTCGGCAGGCAGCTTGTCCTTAAACTTATCCACGGCCTGCCTGGTATTAAAAGCATAACAACTCAGCATTGCTTGCTGATTAGCAATGGGGAGTTGCACCCCCCGGGTGGCATACACCTTACAGCCCATCAGGTCAAGATGCTTGGGCTCCCTAGCTTTCAGGGACGGCCCCGGCTGGGGAAGCTTCTCCCTTTGGGCTGCAGCCTGAACGACCAAGGACCCCGGGACAGGTTGGGAATACAGGTGTTCGTGCACCGACTGAGGAACGTAGTAGTGTCTCTCAACTTCTTTTAAGGTAGGGGTCAGGGTCGCCGGTGTCTGCCACAGAGCATTGGTAATTTTGGCCACGGTCTTATTAAGTGGCAAAGTGAAACAGGCGGGCGCATCGTCAGAGAGGATGTCAATCATGGGGTCCGTGTTCTCCACTACTGGCTCCACAGGGACACCCAGATTGGAGGCCAGACGCCTAAGCAGCTCCTGATGTGCTTGGGCATCCATAGTAGGCAGCGCCGGTGCAGGATCTGCCAAGGCTTCATCAGGAGACGATGATGATGATGACTCCTGGATTGGTGCCGGGGCCAGCGTAGGAACTGGCTGAGGCGCCGGCTGGGCGGGCATCCATAGTAGGCAGTGCCGGTGTGAGATCCACCAAGGCTTCATCAGGAGATGATGGATGACGACGACTCCTGGATCGGTGCCGGACCCGGCGTAGGAACCGGTTGAGGCGCCGGTTGGACAGGCGGTACCGCTTGTGGAAGCGGCTCCGGTACTGAGGCCTGTGGCTCAGCCGCGGCATCCGAAGCAAGCGACCTCTGGGGGGAAGGAGAGGGTCACGACAGTGACGCCGATGGTTGTGTTCGGCGACCCAAGGCTCCTGACACCACAGAGGAGGGCACAGGCTCCTGCCACTGGTGCTAAGCCCACGGGGTCCAGAAGGGCCACTGCGGTTGGGGCGGCCAAGTCTGCTGCACCCGCAAACGATCGGTGCCAGGAACGGGATCTATGAGCCGAGGAAGCTTCCGAGGACTCCGACCTGAACGATGCCGCATCAGAATCCAATGAGTAATCAGACTCCAGCCAGGAAGGCGCAGAAGACGAAAGTCCTGTCACCGATGGAGGGGCAAGCCTAGCCATGGACTCGGGTTTGCCCGCGTGCGTCCAATGAGGGCGTGCTGGCACCGGGAAGACCGGTCCTGGTGCCGGTTCCGTTAGCGGTGCCTGTTGCAACACCAGGAGAACTGGTCCCTGTGCCGGGAGTGTAGTTAGTTGTGGCACCGGGAAAACCGGTCCCGGTGCCAGGAATGGAGTTAGTGCCGGAGGGACAAGCCCCAGTGCCCAGGGTGAAACCGGTTGCAGCACCGGGAGAACCGGTCCCGGTGCCGACACGGAGCATGGCTGCGTTGCCGAAGCTGGTACCGTTTAGCCGATGTCACTGTCAATGGCGGTACCGACAAGGTCCAGAGGGTCGATGCCGGTGCCTACGACGGTGCCAAAACATTATCAGTGCTGAAGAAGCTGATGCTGAAGGGCCTGGTGCCGACGACTGGAACAGCACCCCGGAAAGCTGCTCAGCACCGGCATTGATGACGACGGTGCCGTAGACGTTTCCAGAAGGCCAGAGTGGTATGGCACCGGTGCAGCCAAAACAGGGTCTGGGAGAGGTCCCAGCACCGAGGAAGGTCGAGCCCAGTCGGGTGCCGGGTGAAGCCTGGTGGCCTGTGTCGAGACCGGCACCAATGAGGAGGCAGGCGGTACTGGTCCCACAGGAGACGGTCCTGCTTCAAAAGAGGCCGGAGCCATCTGGTCATGCCGCTGCGGAGGCGAAGCCAGAAGCCAACACAGCCTCCGGCATAGGCGACCTCGACCCTTCCGCCTCAACCGAAGGGCGATGCGAGGGTAGTTGCCCTGGCGATGCGAGGGTAGTTGCGATGCGAGGGTAGTTGCCCTGGACTGGACGGACGTCCCGCTTACTTACGTCGCACCATGGAGGATGAGGATGTGTGCACTGGTGACTCAGCATCGCGGTGTAGGCTTGGATTTCCTGGCTCAGAGACCTAGCACGAGACTTCTTGACCTCTTTGGTGCCAGAGAGTGAGACCGGTGCTGGGCCCTCGACACCGAGGCTCGGCCTCGGGATGGAGCATCTTGCGTGGATGCCAGTGCACTGTGCACCGCAGCGTGCCCAGCTGGTGCTAGCTGTAAAGCCGCCTACATGAGACGTTTTAGACGAGAGTCTCTCTCCCTTTTAGTGCGCGGCTTAAAAGACTTGCAGATCTTACAGGCGTCTGTTAGATGGTCCTCACCCAGACACTTCAGACAACTCTCGTGAGGGTTTCCTTTGGGCATGAACTTTGCGCAGACAGTGCACGCCTTAAAGCCTTGCGGCCCTAGCATTCCTCACCCCCGAAGAGGGAGAAGGAAAAAACAAAGAGACATTAACTATCTAATTAATTGAACTATTTAGAACTATCTACAATGCTAAGAGAAACGGGAACCATTAACTGATGTAAGAGAGACACGCTCCAACGACCATCACGGGCGGTAAGAAGGAACTGAGGTGGGGCAGCGCTGGCAGGGGTACTTATGCCCTGCCATGGTGGCGCCATTCCAGGGGGCGCCCTGCAGGCGCTATGGGTACCGCTAGGGAAAATGCTCCGGAAGACGCAGTGCACGCAGTGCGCACACCTAATTCGAATGGACATGAGCAACCACTCGAAGAAGAACTCCTCCCATCACGCACCACCTCCCAGGACTAGCTGAGCCTTGTGCAGAGTAGCAGCCACTGGTCAGGATGTCCCCAGTTACTGCCCCCCTCCCTCCCGCCCTCCCGATTTGTCTCTCTTCCAGCTGCTCCAGGGACATAGAATGGCATGCCTGCACTGCTGGGGCAGGGAATGCAACAGCTCTTGGTTTCCCTTTGCTTTCCCATTCAAAGTCATTTTTCTGTGAGGGAAGCCAAGAAATCTGCACATGTGCAGTGGCACAGAAATCCCCCCAAGCGTAATATATGCATGAGAAGAATGTTTCTTTTTTCCCCTCCTGGCATCACTACAAACAAGAATTAAGTTGTTTGGGAACCTGACAACAAAGGCCTGGCTGGGATGATTTAGCTGGAGTTGGCCCTGCTTTGAGTACGGAGTCGGACTAGATGACTTCCTGAAGCAGGGGTCTCAAATTCAATTTACTTTAGGGCCAATGCCAGTCCTCAAATCCAACCAGTGGGCCAGCGGGAATCCCTTCTGACAGGGTTCCAGGGAGGAGGGCAGGAGTCTCGGCACATTCCCCACGACACACACATCTCCTGTCCTTGCCTTGTAAATTGAAATCCCCCCGTATGCCACCACCAGTAGTGCAGCAGGGCTAGAGCAGCATCTGGTCACTGATGGCACGTCCCTGTAGTCTGGGGGAAGTGTGTGCAGAGCCGTCCCTTCGGGGGGGTCCTGTGACAGCTGCTCCAACTGTACTGTGGACGGGATGGTCCCCCATAATCAGGTTAGCACAGTCACTATGCTTCGTCGCAGCAGCACAAAGCAGAGCGCCCCAGCATGGACTGGCCTGGAAGGTGGCAGCGGAACAGAGGCTGCTGTGTCACTCTGCTTGAGGCAGCTCCCCCCACCTCAGCGAGTGCACGGGAGCCCAACCATGCTGCCGCCCCATGCCAGGCCCCCCAATAATTCCCAAGGCTGCATTCCTCAGGGGAGGGGCTTGATGGAAGTGATATGATGTAGGGAGAGAGCAGAGCAGGGGTGGGAAGAGGCAGAGTATGGGTGGAGCATGGGCTGGGCTTGGGGGAAGGGTATGAATGCTCTTCAGGGACAGAGGGACTCACGGGCCAGCAGCCATGTGCAAGCCGGATTGTAGCACTGCTCAGACCACAGACGGCCCTCGGGCCATGAGTCCTAACATCTCTTCTAAACCTAGTCTTCTATGATTAATTGTGCATTTCCTTTCCAAGCATGTCAGTAAAGCTGATGAGCATAAGAAGCGAATTAGATTCATTTTGCTTTGGGCTTAGTTTCTAGCATGAATTCCATCTTCCCTACCTTTTGTTTCTTGCTTGTGCCAGGCTCCCCTTTGAGAATGCTGGGATCCATTGCTTCAATATCCTTCACCAAGAGGCCAAAAAGTTTATCATTGAAACTGAACACAAGCTGTGAACGGAGGGAAAGAAGAAAACAATTGATTCAACTTGTTAAAAAGACACTAGGACTTCGATGAGATAGGTTAGGAGGGACAGGAACAGGATTTAAGGGAGGACAAAATCTTAGTTGAAAAAGCATTAGCCCACTTCTGTCATAACTAATCAAGAAAATTAAAATCCTGGTCCACAGCACAAAGCATTTCACTTTCTCCAATTAAATTCTTCAAAGATGGACAAATTTAAATCTAGCCAACAGCTTTGTGTCTAATAAAACATCACATATGAAGCATCGGGGGTCAGAAAACCATTAACCTGTATTGTGAGGAGCAGATAGTTTTGAAACACCTCATCGGCAGATTAGTTTATTACAGAAGTGCTCTGAGGCTGTGATCCGCTGTCCCCTCTTCTGTATGGTGCCAAGCACAATGATAATACTTCACACACAACAAGGATTCCTAAAAGCCATTCTTTCCTGAGGGACAGAACTGATCTTTGGTCAAACACTTAGAACATTTAAACTGGTATCTTAACATTATAAATGTTTTTAACTGTATGGCACCTTACACCTGAGGATCTCAAAGTGCTTTAAATGCAACAGATTAAGTCTCAAGACCTGCAAATGTTCCTATTTTTATTGCTGTGAAACTGAGGCACAAAGAGACTTTCCCACAGTCATACAAGGGTTACATCAAGTCTGAATCTGACCCAAAATCTGTGGTCAAGTTAGCACCAGAACCCAAATGTCACAAGGTTTTGATTTTCTCTATGGGGAAGGCAGGCTTTGTATCACTTTACTTCGGTTGTCTCTACAGACAATGAAGCACTTCTTGTTATGGACCGTTTGACAGGCAGACACACCCTCTAATCAAAGTAAGGGAAATGCTGAGCAATACCAATAGTTTGATTAAACACTGCTTAATATTTCATAACACAGGACCTACCTATCTGTCATCTCAAGTGCTAGAGTTCGATGGAAGTATTGGATACTACACCAATGAATGCTCTCACCTGTTGTCCTACTGAGAAAGCCAGGTTGTTGAACTGCTGGATGAATTCAGCTGCCATCTTGTCTGAGTCATACGGGTTGGCATCAACGCTCTTCTTCTGCAAAAAGTCTATCTCGATGGTCATAGTGCCGATGCACTGCTTGGTCTTGTCAAAAGTGTATGGGGAAACTGGGGGAAAAAACCCACATATTTCAATGTGGTGAAATCCCAGTATAACCTTCACAGTGCACTTAACATGCTGTAAAACACCAGAGCAAATTGACCTTCACACTGAAAAGCATTATAGTCTGTGTTCCCACAAAGTTGCGCAGCAGCACAGCTTCAGAGGTAATTCATCAGCCCTGCCCAGTCAGATGCTCCATGCACAGAGCTGACTGACTGGGTGAGGCTGATGAAGCAACTGTGAAGCTGTGTTGCCATGCAGCTTAGAGGGAACACTCGCTACAGTATATCTCGAACTTGGAATCAGAAAAAAACTCTACTGTATGTAATGAAGAATCCCATTTCACTGCTTCCTAAAGCTTAAAATACACTTTTAATATTGAAGAATCATTTGTGATTGCATGGTGGGATTACATTAAACTTCCTGTGCTTTCGGAATGGTATTTAAATATTCACACAAGTAGCAGAAAATGCATAAAACGTGGGGGGGGACACCCGTGAAAAGGTTTGAATTAAATCCACAAAAACCATCTCTAACGCTGTAGTACAACGTACTCGGATCATGCCTTTTCACCATGGGGTTTGAAGGTCATTCCACATAGTCATCCTCTTTTCACAGAGGGCGGAACTGCCAACCACAAGGGACACACCTGGCTACCTGGTTCCAAGGGGAGAAATGAGTTTCAGACTAGAGCTCACAGAGCCTAAGAGCACACTCCTCGTCCTTCCCCTTCTCCCAACACCTCCTGGAATAACAGTGCTGGCAACTGTGCTGGAGATAATTATCAAGAGACCCTTCCCATGCACAAACGCAGGTACACCCAGCAAATTGCAGGGAATCTGTTACCTATAGCAAAGCGATACAAGGAAGTGAAATGACCTTGTCTAGATTACAACCAATGGTTCCAGGATATCTATCTATTCCATACCTGATTTTCAGTACCAATACTTGGGTTCTGACAGTGCCTTACAAACGCCTTTATTAGAGAATTCTTCTGGGCTCCTCCTCCCCAAACATCTCCCACTGTCCCCCAGCTTACTGCAGACATATAGCTCCTCTCTGCAGCAGGCAGTATGCAACAAGCAGCCACATCCACCCAGGACAAGTCCTCTCTTTAGCCAGGTGACTTTTTTAGCCAGGTGATTATTAGGCTCCTCTGCTCCCCACCTATCTGCCAACAGCTGCTTCTGATGTACTTAAACATTCTGGTATTACTATTTGAGCTTTTGGCTAGCTGTTCTTCAGACTCCTTTTTGGCTTTTCTTCTTATATTTTTTCACTTAATTTGACAAAGCGTAGGCTCCTTTCTATTTTCCGCACTAGGATTTGACTTCCACTTTTTAAAAGATATCTTTTTATTTCTCACTGCTTCTTTTACTTGGTTGTTAAGCCACGATTGCACTTTTTTGGTTCTCTTACTGTTTTTTGATTTGGGGTGTACATTTAAGTTGGGCCTCTATTATGGTGTCTTTGAAAAGTTTCCACGCAGCTTGCAGAGATTTCACTTTTTTCACTGTATCTTTTAATTTCTGTTTAACTTCCTTATTTTTGGTGTAGTTCCCCTTTCTGAAATTAAATGCTACAGTGTTGGGCTGCTGAGGTGTTTTCCCTACCACGGGGATGTTAAATTTTACTACATTATGATCACTATTTCTGGTTCTATTTACCTCTTGAACCAGATCCTGCGCTCCACCTAGGACTAAACCAAGAATAGCCTCTCCCCTTGTGGGTTCCAGAACCAGCAGCTCCAAGAAGCAGTAATTTAAGATATAAATGTATCTATCTCCAACATATCTACCTCTCCCCCTAGCTTAGTGTCATTCCGCAAACCTGCCAAGGGTGCAATCCATCCCCTCATGCAGCTCATTAATAAACAAACATTTTGAACAACACCGGCCCTAGAACTGATCCTTGGGGCCCTCTGCTTGAAACCGACCGCCAACCTGACATCAAGCCATTGACCACTACCCTTTGGGCCTGACAATCTAGCCAGCTTTCTATACACTTTCCAGTCCATTTATCCAATCCATACTTCCTTAACTTGCTGGCAAGCATATCGTGGGAGACTGTACCAAAAGCTTTACTAAAGTCAAAGTATATCCCATCCACTGACTTCCCCATGTCCACAGAGCCAGTTACCTTGCCATAGAAGCTAATCAGGTTGGTCAGGCATGACTTGCCCTTCGTGAATCCATGTTGACTATTCCTGATCACTTTCCCCTCTTCCAAGTGCTTCAAAACAGGTTCCTTGAGGATGCCCTCGATTTTTCCGGGGACTGAGGTAAGGCTGACTGGTCTATAATTCCCGGGATTGTCCTCCTTTCCTTTTTAAAAGATGGGCCTTTTTCCAATCATTCGGGACCTCTCCCAATCTCCACCTTTTGAAAGATAACCCTAACTCTAGGGTTATTGGGCAAAGTGGGAAGCTGGGTGAACCCCCAACGGTTCAATGGATTCCATGAAGTTGGTCACTGTGTTTGGAACCATAGCGAAGGGTTCTGTGTTGAAGATGTAGGTGGCAATGCAAGTATCAGGGTTTGTCCTGCTGTCAGAGAACCTCGCTCCCAGCCAGAACTGCTAAGTGGAGCACTTGGTACCACGCAACCAAGTGTTCAGCGGCTCTGCATCAGGATCTCCTGCTACTTGACTGGTACAGAGAAGCAGGAAGACTGATAAACAACCAAGGTGGGGGCAACTCTCTCAGCACCCTCGGATATATTAAATCCAGTCCCATGGACTTGCGCATGTCCAGCTTTTCTAAATGATCCTTAACTTGTTCTTTCGCCATTCAGGGCTGCCCATCTCCCCCACACATAGCCGAGTGCAGCAGTGTGGGAACTGATCTTGTTTGTGAAGACTGATGCAAAAACAGCCTTGAGTACTTCAGCATTTTTCCACAGCATCTGCTACTGGGTTGCATTCTTCATTCAATAAGGGTCCCACATTTTCTGACCTCCTTTTTGTGCTAACATACCTGTAAAAAACCCCTTTTTGTTACCCTTCACATCCCTTGCTAGTTGCAGCTCCAAATGCACTTTGGCTTTCCTGATTACACGCCTGCATGCTCAAGCAATATTTTTATGCTCCTCCCTAGTCAACTGTCCAAGTTTCCACTTCTTGTGAGCTTCCTTTTTGTGTTTAAGGTCACCAAAGATTTCTCTGTTAATCCAAGCAAGTTGCCTGCCATATTGATTATTCTTTCTGCACACTGGGAAGGGTTTGTTTCTATGTCCTCAATTCGGCTTCTTGAAAATACAGCCACACTCTCCTGGATTCATTTCCCCTTCATATTAGTCTCCCAGAGAATCCTGCCTATCAGTTCCCTGAGGGAGGCAAAGTCTGCTTTTCTGAAATCCATATTCATATTCTACAGGTCTTTTCTTCCTTTTGTCAGGATCCTGAACTCAACCATCTCTTGGTTGCTGCTGCCCAGGTTGCCACCTACTTCTACTTCCCCAACCAATTCTTCCCTGTTTGTGAGCAGCAGACTCAAGAGGAATATGATCCCAAGTTGGTTCCTCCAGCACTTCCTCCAGGAATCTGTCCCCAACATTTTCCTACACTTACTGGATTGTCTGTGAGCTGCTATATTATTCTCCCAGCAGATGTCAGGGTGACTGATGTCCCATATGAGAACCAGGGCCTGTGACCTGGAAACCTGGGTTAGAAAGAAAGCCTCATCTACCTTGTCCTCCAGATCTGGAGGCCTGCAGCAGATGCCCACCACGACATCATTCTTGTAGCCTCTACTCAGATTTTTCTCTAGTTTCATATTGGAACTCTGAGCAATCACACTGCTCTTACATACGGTGCAACTTCTCCACCTTTCCCCGCCCCCACCGTCCTTCCTGAAAGGTTTAGATCCTTCCATGACTGCTCCAGCCACATGAGTTACCCCAACCAAGTCTTTGATATGCCTGTTAAGATGCTCTACCCTCTCTTCACTAGGTTGATCCTATCTCTTCCTACCAATCCTCCTTCCTCGAACAACATCCCATGGCCACAATCCAAAACCCTCCCTCCAACATCCTTTTCAACCATGCATTTATCTCCTCAGTTTGATGGTCCCTACCTAGGAGGATGGAAGAGAACATAACTTAAGTTTCAAACTCCTTTATCCTTCTTCCCAGAGCCACGTAGTCTTCAGTGACCCCTTAAGGTCATTCTTGGCAGTATCACTGGTGCCCATTCAAGGGGTAGGGTGGGGTAGCAGTCTGATGGCTCGATCTTGGCAGACACTCCATCCCATCCTGAGTTATTGCTCCAAGCAAGCAGAACACTTCAAGTTTCTCAGTATGGACAGCAGATGGATAACTCCTTCCCCCTTAGGAGGGAGTCCCCAACCGTCACCATCCCTCTCCTTCCATTGAGTGGTGGTGGTTGTGGAACTCTCATCTCCAGGACTATGCATTCCAGGCCTGTTGGTTGATGGGGTCCCCTTCTGATTCTTTCCCTCAGATAATTCTTCCAAACCATTTTCTGCCCTCGTGCCTGTGCAGGAAACCTGAAAATGGTTTCTGACCTCTACCTGCAGTACATGAGCTTCTTCCGGAGGTCACATGCTGCCAATTTTCTTCCCCACTCTGCACTCCCCTCTCTGATTCTTCAGCAATCTGTGTCTGCAGAATTCTATCCAGAAAGTATTTATTTGCTCTAATACAATGCAAGGTTGATACTTGGCATCTGTATCCTTTAACCTTCTCTTCCCATATGGAAACTAGCTTGCACTTCATACAAAGTCACTTCTGTCCTCTGAAAGACAAACACTGCACACCCTTTTGGAGATCACAACAGGTGATCACTCTATCCATGACTATCCATGATGTCTTCCTTTCTAAGAGCCTCTTCAGATGTTTTATTTACTGCTCACAGAAGCCTGAAAGGCCAAAAAACTCTGTTGAAATGCTCCCCAGGCAAACTCCCTCTGCTTGCTTGTCCTCTCTTTGCCATCTATTTGTTATGTTAGATGTCCAATCACTACTACATTTTTCATGAAAACAAATGTCATTTAGCTCATCTTCCATTTCCATTTTTGAGCAAGGTTAGTTTTCCATCCCTCATTTTTAAAAGTTCTCTGAAAATCACCATTCCAAATTAGAGAAGTTGAACATTAGGAAAGGAGACGTTGCATCAGGGTTGGACTGAAAAGCTCCAAGAATGAAAATACTGGACAATCACTGATTTACAGTGCAGACTGCATGGTTCTGTTAACCCAACTACAGTTTACAGATGATCCTAACAACAATGCCACTGATTCAAACAGAGCTACTCCAGGGACAAACTTGCCCCAACGTATTTTTTACAAACAAATTATTTTTAACTGGCTGAAAATTATTTTTTTGTATTTATCAATGAATAAGAGCCAGCTACCCATCAATCTAGATATGTGTTGACCAAACACACTGGTCTAATCAATCTTGAAGCAGAACAGATTTCTACATTTAATGTAACCACAAAGTCATTAAATGTATGACAGTGTTTAGCTACTACAATGTTATTTATGTCATGTCAGAAGATTAACATTGACTGAATCATTCTCTCCGATGCACGTCACATAAGATGCTCATTTCTAACCCATCTTAAAGGTGCAGAACACCTGCTGTTCTCTATGATCTACTAGCTGAATTCTAGCCAGCTGGGAGACTACAATACTGTCACTTATCCAGTTATCCATAACAATGTTGCTTTTTAAAAGCCAATGCATTATATTGAGATGAGAAAGGGAATCAATCATCTGCTCCCACTTTGCTTCTTTGTGAGTCACACAATTTTTCACCCTATTCAATGGAAAGGATGGAGTAAGCAGTTAAGAGTTGCCAATTAAAGATTTAACCCATATTATTATGGGCAAAAGATTGAATGGAACTTTAAACATCAAATTCAGATCTGTTTCTCCTGGGAGTGGGGGGAAACTGGAAAAGATAGGACTTTTCCCCCTGTTACTTACTCAATTTAAAATTAACCTGTCTTTGCTTCCTCTACCTGCAGCATGCCACTCCCCCCTCCCCCAAAAAAACTTACTGAGTGGTACACCCTGGAAGGCCTTCCTGTTTGCCTCCACTGTCCACCTGAACTCCCAGACCAAAACCTAATTGCTTGCATCAACTTAAAACCCAATTCTTGTACTGAGATCTGCTAACTTTTATATATAAAAAGATTCCCACTGAAGACAATGGTGTCTTCATAGAAGTGTTTAGAAGCTGAAATAATGGATCCCACTACAGGACTGAAAACGGGGACGGATTAACCATTAGGTTAATAGGGCTATATTCTTTGTCCCCCCCCCCTACTGATTAGGTAGGTCTTCCTGGTCATGCAAGGGGCAAGGCTGGGAGAGAGAACTTGCTCACTCAGCCTTGCTGGAGCCTGGGAACTCCTGCCAGCAGGAAAGGCAAAGCAGCCCCCTAGGCTTACAAAGAGCTCAGCTAGCAGCCTGAGGCTGTAACTTTCAGAAACTTACTGTAAGCTGCAACTTTGTAACCTTTGTAACTCAGCCACTTTGTGACTTGCTCTAAACTGCATTCTCCCCTGAGTGAGTGAAAGAGAGAGAAGTTGCAAGGCTAAGACTGGAGCACATGGTGATGAGTCATCACAGACTGCTGCTTTGCTGGTAAAGGGAAGTCCCTGATGACGAGGTGAATGAGTCACAGGAGCCATTCAGAAACTATATAACAGCAGTTCCCAACCTTTTCCAGATGGGGACCATTTTGACAGTTCAGGAAGACTTGGTGACCCAGGGCAATTCAAAAAATGTGGGAATGTCTCCTTAAGAGCCACCTGGGGAGATACCTGGTGACCATTTTGAAATGTAATGGCGACCCATATTTGGGTCTCTACCCATAGGCTGGGAAACCCTGCTATATAGGGAGTGGGAGCACATGTGAGACTCCTCTTTCTCTCCTGCCAGTGTCTCCCCTCCTGACCAGCTTCCCCAGCCACGATGAGCAGACAGAACCTCCAGGATCTACATACCTTGGCTCCTTCTGCAATCCATATGCCTGTGTAAGTGTGTGAGTGCCTGAGGACAGGAATGAAATGTGTGTGAATGAGTGAATGAATGGAGGGGTGTGTGTGCTTGTTTGTGTGTGTGAGACACACACACAGCTCTGTACCTTCTTTAGTTTATATCTTTAGTGGCAGCTCTATCTTCTTCGGACTACAAGGTTAAACCAAATAGTGGAGCGCTAATTCCTCCAACAATAAACCCATATTAGTGCAACCCTGTGTGGTCTCCACTGAGAATATTTTTGGGCTAACACTGATAACCTCTGGACTGTAGTCAGTCTTGAGGCCTGAACTCTCAGTAGGTGAAAAACCTCACCATGGAATGAGTAATTGGTTAAAGTACCACATAACTACAGGTAAGACTCTAGGCAGATGATCTGGCATGCCCCTGCTCAGTTCACCTTTGGTCTGTAAACCATATAAAAGAATCAGCATAAGTTCCCGTTGAGTGCTTGACCTACCATCTATGTCTTGTCCAATGGAGAGTCCTGCCCATTTTCTCTGTAAAAAACACAAACAAGTAGTTGCAAAAGGACAACCTTTCTTTCATGAGAATTACAAAAACAATTTCACAGGAGAGCCTCCTTCGTCACTGTGAGCTTTTGAAAGCGAAGGATGCACTATTTGAACAGCAAAACAGACAGAATAAAACCTAGCAAAATGCCTAACAAGTACCATAAAAGCAACAATGACAAAATCCTTACAGAACATCATCAGTTTCCCATTTGATGTCTTTGAGTGTACTGTAACTGGTTCTGTAAAACCATCCATGTTCAATCCCCCAGAGAACAGTTACAAGAGCTCAAGACAGAAATGTCTTCTTAAAAAAAAGTGAGCTCATGATTCCAGCATAATCCTGATGAAAGAAACCATGTACACTACTTTTCCTGCCTTACAGCTCAGTCCATTGCTCAAGCACATGAACTGCATTAATGTTAAAGGGGAGATTATCTCAGATGGACAGAAAAACATATTCTGTACTTTATGCTAATTTTAAACTGGTGATTGTGTGAAAACTGTCACTGGGGAAAATATTTGTAACATTTGTATTATAGCTAATGTTCTTTTGAGATCTTTCAGCGAATGAATTAGATGCTATAAAATAGCCAGGGCCTGCTGTAGGCTGGGGCTGCACTGCAGCCCTACCCCTAACCCACCTGTTAACCATAACCAGAAAGCATTACCTGTTTAGGGTGATGCTTGGAAGTTAACCAGTTAAACCTTCACATCCCTAGTTCCAAGCAAAGCACAATATAGTTTTGACAGTTGCTATTTTCTTAGAAATTAGTGCTATTGAATTAAATAATCTCTAGACTAGGCATGTAAAAGAATAGTTGATTACTTGACTGCACGATAAGACTAGGCTTATGGGATAGTCGAGTTGACTATTCGCATTTCCCCCTCCCTCTTGCTGCCTCTATATCAGAGGCAGTAAAAGCCGGCTCCTCCCAGCACTATCTCCACGGTGCAGAGGCGGTAGGCGAGGCAGAGGTGCAGCGTCCCAGGTCTCAGACCTACCCCCATTGCAGCTCTGCCTTTTAAATGCAGCAAGAGTCGGGCTGCCTGCACGCCCAGCTCCTACTACATTTCAACTCCAGATCCCCAGTGGGGCCCCTTATCACTAATCATGTATTTGATACAAATAGATTGCCTGGGGATAGAAGGGGGAGCGCACGTAGTCTCCTCCCACTGCCAGAGGCATGGGTGCCAAGAAGGAATGAGGGGGGCAAAGACTTCATGCGCTCCCCCACCCCCAGACCAATCATGGCCCACCCTCTACTCCGGGTTCCAACCCACGGCCCTGTAATAGTAGCTGCTCATGTAAGTCCCCAACATCTGCTATAAGACAGCACCAAGACTCCTGGGCTACTTCTCCACACCTTCCTTCTCTCCGGTTCTTTGTCCTAGTGTCCACTTGTTGTCTCTTTTCCTCATACTCCCAGCGGTGCTTTTCTCCATCCTCTCAGCTAAACATGCCCACCACCAACTGAAGGCAAGATCCTTTTATAGCCAGTCTCAAATGGTTTTCCTTAATTAACCCCAGGTGTCCTAATCAGCCCAGGCTGGCCTGACTCTGCAGATCTGGTCAATTAGACCCAGGTGTTCCACTGCCCTGATTGCCTCTGCTGGTTCTAAACCAGCCCCTTCCTGTTACTCTGGGAACAGAGATCTCCTCAGTCTGAGGCTAATGTATCTTCCCTCCACTACTTTTAGCCTTCTGATCTGATCCTGTCACCCTCCCAATTACATCATAATGGAACAAAGGACACCCTTACAAAATTCCACATACCCACTTACATGGACAAGCATATATTAGCTTTTTCCTTAGTGTGGCTAAACTGGGAAATTAAATATATATGTAGGCATAAAAACTATGACAACTGAGGCTAACGTACTATAGCAAATAGGAGATGAACCAGAAGTACTGCATGATTTAATAGATCTTTTCTTGCTCTCACCTTTAGATTATATGACAGAGGACAGTAATAAGCAACTATTTAAAATGTCGACACATTCTATTATAATCTCTTTTTAAAAGGACGAAGTAGTCAAGAGTCAACAGGAGGGTCATGGCACCTCTCTCAGAGTAGGCAAAATCCTCAAAAAAGCTGATTCTAATGCCATAGAATGCGTTTCTGAAAAAAAGTTAGCAAATGTTTCCTTTCATAATTTGAATGTGCTTAATCTGAAGATGATGGTTACCAAGTTGAATTTTGAATTTTAAGGTAATTAGAGAAGAAACAAAAAAGAGCTAAGTTAAAAAATAGGAAAGAAAACACACTAAATATGGTTCCTAATTTGGAACACTGAGCTATCAGAAAATGAAGGGCGTGATCTCTGGTCATGTGATGATGCGCACTTGAATTTTGTTGGATTTGCAGTAAGGACGATGTTTAATAGTTATTCAATCTTTTTCATTGCTGTATGCAGTGCTGCTATAGCCATGTCACTCCCAGGATATTAGAGATACAAGATGGGAGAGTCTGTCTGTCTCTATATCGATATCGATATCTATATCTATATATCGATATACACACAAACACAAAATTTCCTGCAGGACATCATCACGTCACTCTGGATCCCCAGGAACCCTGACCACATGACTACTCTGTGAAATGGGGGGGAGGGCAGCAGCTCCATCCCCACATGCCCCCTAGAGCAGTGTCCACCTGCCTCTGGGCCCCGCACCCAGCCTTCCTAACCCACTTGCCTGCTGCACAGCTTTGCTCTGTGCAGCCTGGGCTCCAGCACACTCTCCTGGAGCCACTGTGAGCTCAGCAGGTCTTGTACCCTGGCCACGTCAACTAATCGAGTAGTCAATGGATTTTCCATTGACTAGTCAATTCGTCAATAAGCAGGTGAGCCACAGTGGAGTTAGCTCCCCAGTCTGGGATCGAACCCCACTGCAGCTCTGCCTTTTAAATGTATTAAGAGCCTGTCAGCTCTTAATACATTTAAAAAGGCTGGTGAGTAGCAGGGGGACCTGGCACAAGACGGGCATCAGCTGTCCTGGCTCATGCTGAATCCCCCTCCCCCCGCCACTCTTTACCCTTTTAAACGTATTAAGAGTCAACAGGCTCTTACTACATTTAAAAAGCAGAGGTGCAGTGTCTGGGACTGGGCTCGAGCCAGGAATCAGCTTATCCCCAGCTCGCACCCGGTCCCTACTATCCACCCTGCCTTCAATGTCCCCTCAGCAGAGATGGTGCTGAGGGGAAAATAGGGGCAGGATGAGCTACAGAATGATCATTTCAGCAGAAAAGTTCATCTGCAACATGCACAATGTACCTGATGAGGAGGGCTGTGAGAAGGCACAAGTAACATTGTTCTCCAAGTATCCACACGAGAGGCACTGCCTCCAACAAGTGATGTATGGCCTTCAAAGAGCTTGCTTTCAAGTTATGGAGTGTAGGCAACAATCCAGCATTTCCCTCACCAGAGCACGTGTGGGACCAAACAGAGAAGTGATACCTAAGCTAATGCCACCAGTGCAATCCAGACAGCTGTACAGATATTACTACTTGTGGAAGTATCGAAGAGCACACATCACAACCTGTAGCTGCAGAGATAGCCTAGTGGCATGCCTTGGCAGTACAGGCAGTCCCCGGTTACGTACAAGATAGGGACTGTAGGTTTGTTCTTAAGTTGAATCTGTATGTAAGTCGGAACTGGTGTCCAGATTCAGCCGCTGCTGAAACTGACCGCCAG